TTTAATTAATTGCGAATGATTATGTCTTTCCATAATAATAAAACTGCTTCAATTTTCCGATCGTCTTCAACGGCTCAGTCCTACCTTTTAGCCCCGTACTCAAGGACTCATTGACACACTCTTGATTGGCGAGCTCAGTTACTCATGTGAGTCAGAAAGTAACTGGAAACTGGCGAATAGCGTTCGAATAGAATAGCCTCAAGAACTTCCTGCCTCCCAAAACTAAAACTACTCTCATGCAATCCTTAATCATTATTTTAATCGATTATGGTGATTTACGTTATTTCGACCTGAATGCAGACCTACTTAAGCTGGACTGCCTTCTTAATAACTGCATTCGGTACATTTTCAATCTTCGCAAGTATGACCACGTTCCCACCAACGCTTTACGTTCCCACCTGAATTGGTTACCTATTCGCCTGCGCCGCAATCAGCGATTTTATTTTCATTCCTCATTTCTTCATCCTCACCTACTTACCTCACGCCGTACTTTCGTTTCTTGTCGTCTAATTACGACAGAAATCTTTGCTCTGCAAATAATTTGCTTATTCCCTCCCACAATTCCTACTTCGTGAACTCTGCGTTATTCGTTCAAGCAGTTGTACTCTGTGCACTCCCGCCTGAAGACAGGATGTCCATTAGCCGTTCCGTATTTAAAAAGAAGGTACATGACCTTCTTCTTAATTAGATGGCAGAAGCGATTTGCAAAATATGAACAAAATATATCCAGTAGTTTAGCCACAGGACTCATTTTTGTGTTTCGTAAATTGCAACATCATGTGTACATGCAGTCATAATACATTGACCTCAGGCGGCGATCAGCTGTATACGCGGCGCGGTAATCACACGTTGCCGCTTTTACTACACCCGAATCGAACGAAATATGTTGATTATTACGTCATCACGATGCAACACGCGTTTTTAATTAGTTCATCCAGTAAGGACAGTCAGTCGGCCCTTGGCCACCGGCGAGCTTATGCTATTCCGTATCCTTGTAGATGCGCTCACGACAAATAACCGTAATAATAATATTGTTGTTGTTTATGAGATACATATTTGTTTAGAGAAGTTTTCTTGTGGTAATAATTGTTTAGTCTTATTGCTTTCGTCATAATACACGGCAATGGTGTGAACAATTAATGTTATCGTGTGCGCAAGACTTCGTAATGTAAGGAGTCCTGCTAATTTTATTTTGAAAAGTCACTATTAGGTTCTGTGTGTAGTGTAGTGTGAAACTGAGTGCATTATCAGTCTTTTAATTTTATTGGGTTATCGATATCAACATCCATAATGCCGTGAGTGACCTTCACAGCGGCGGAATATCCTGCTATGATGTTAATTTATGGAAAACTCTATCAAAACGCATCTTTTGCTTTACGGACACGTATGGAGTCAATCGTGTATGTCCTACAGACTGCCGAATTTTTGTAAGGGCGGTACAAAGATTACGAGACAACCAAGGTAACTACTTTTTCAAGGAGTGACGCGTACTGCTGGGTCGGAAGCTAGTCGAGCATTCACGAAATAAACACGTGAATAAAATCGCATTCTTTATAAATAGATTTTTAAAAGCAAGTGAAGTGATTGGTAGGTAGGTAATAAGAATGTAAAGTTCGCTCGTCGCGGCGGCGGCTGCGGCGGCGGCGCCGGCGGCGGCGTCGTTTTGATGTCGCCGACATTGCGACGCTGCCGTGTAGGTACAGTTCACCGACTCATGTTATCAATGGTGTTCTAATTCGGAAATTATTTTATTGTATTTAGTTTGTTCTAAATTTGCATTTCTGTATTTTCGTACTAATTTTTTATTTTTTTATTTTAACCGACGTATATTGAACCGTGTTATCTGTTATTTCATTTTTTGTGATATCTATACCGCCACAGTGTATATATATATATAGATCTAAGTATGTAGTGTTGTGTAGTGTATATTTTAGTTGAATAGTAATGCAACCTATTACTATTAAGGATATCTACACCACCCAACTACGAAGAGAATGCCCTTTTTTTTTCTTCTTTGTGGCATGTCGGACTCGAACCGACTAAAACTGCACGCCGTCTTGGGTACTAATAGCCGGGGAACCAGGTATACCCTAGAAAGGAAGTCCCTGGTGCCCCGACATACCTCGGGCCATCTAGATAGATATCTAGATAGATGGCCCCCGTGTGGGAACCCCATGTTCCCTCTGCTCCCTGGAAGCGAGCGCGCTTCGCAACGCGCTCGCCGCCACTCCGGCCTGCTTCTGCTAGGGTGACAGATGGCCTCACCTGTCACCCCCAGGCCTGCGCTTATGGAGGACGGAGGTCGTTCTGCGACGAAGAGAATGCCCTGGGTATTAAGTCCGTCATTGTACAATAGTGCATAAAGTTGTGTAAATAAAAATGAATAAATAAAATTTGCTAACATTGCAATTTCGTTCGAGGTGAGCAAAATAAAAACGATCGTAACTTGTAGGTAGGTATATAACTTACTACTAATTTTACATAAATAACTAATTTTTATTATAACTTAATTCACCGCGATTTTCGTGATCGAAAATTGTCTACTATTTTATTTTCTCTAACATTATTACAGAAATAATGCAATACAGAGTTTGTTCGCGATATGGTAGCCTTTGTCAATTCGTCACTAACCACTATCTATTAAAAAAAAATCGGTATCGATTCACAAAATACCTAATTACAACGCACACGTCACACTCTTCAAAACTAAAATTACCTATGCCTACCCTACGAGCAAGCTTCTTTTTAACAAATGCTATAAAGGTTCCAATTCTATGAACAACTATAAACAATTTAACAAAACGCTGCGAGAAAACAAAGGCATTCAAAATAATACCTGATCTCCCGGCCACTTGCTAATGCAAAAAACTCAATGAATTATATTATGAACATATTTATGTAATAAACAATCCCAAATACGTGCATTTATTTTAAAATAGACAAGAAGATCCTTTGCACTCATTAATATTTTAGAACGATGATTTATTAAACTAAATTTAGTCTTCGCGTTTGCGTTGATGCGAATGAGAAAGTACGCACTGCGTGAATGTAAAGCGTTAACGAATAAAGTGACTAAATTTCGTGTACGTATTAATTCATACGTTCACGAAATTTCACGATCACACAATTTTAATTTGCAATTCACAATTAAATATGAGCGTGAAGACTAATTAATTCTTCATTTTTCGCCATATACACGGACCCGCTCGACCGGAGTTTTATTCAGGAGCAATTTTCTGAATAATTTTCGTGCCTATTTTAATAATAAAAGTGCATAAGTATTTATAAACCTACTTATACAGACGTCTCTCTTTTTCGTACGTTAAAACATGCGCTGGTGCAGGTACACGTGTATGGTTAGAAAAATAGTATTCAGAGCAATGCTGTCTGACACGGGTTCGGGGTTTCCCCACGCGCAGCGGGTGTCGGGCAAACGGCGCGTGCGCATAAGGCGGATGGCCACTCGCAGACTTTTTTCTTTAATTCATTTGAACGCTACGTATGCGTACCATGAATAGAAATTAAAATTAAATAGAAATACAATTTTTTAGATTGAGAAAATCTAGGTTATTGAAATTATCAATAAACACTTGCTCACTCCCTCACAAGATACTTCATATTTTGGCATTTTTCCTTGGTATTTCACCAGCGATGAAATAGAAGTGTAATTTACAATTTTGTAGAGTGAAGTACATTATCACTTCTTTTCAAGAAGGTATCTTTGTTTTCATGAACATATCGCATCCTTAGTAATATAAAGGCATAATACAAAATAGTAGTTTTCAGCTTATTTTTCGAATAAAATGCATAATATTTAAGTTACACACATGATATTTTGCAGTTTTATTCTTTGATAAATATATTATAAAAAGCCATGAAGAAAAAAATAAATCCATTAGTTATAAGTGATTAAAAAAACACTTTCCAGTTAAGGCCACATAGTACAAAAAGACATCTTCAATTTTTGGCAAATAGCGATCTAATATGAAACAGACCCAAAAATTCACTAAATTTTGTATAATATAAAGGCGCAACTACAAATTATTCTATATAATACAAAAAGTTTAAAACAACACTCACCTGTTTTTTTGCACAAACACAATAGAATAAAGTTTTGACGGTTGGCTTTCAGCAAATATGGTCACGTTACTGCTTGTGACCTTGTAGCACTAAAACGGGAGACGTGCGGGGAGAGTGTCAGAGGGGCACAAATATATTTACCGAGTCATTATTATCCGTTTTCCTTCTCTGTCAGTGCCGGTAACAACAAAAGCCGGTAGAGAATTTTATTTTGTGCTCTTAGCCTTTAAAATAACGTTTCTCTAAAATGTTGACTTGACTCTTTATATTACTAAACTACTATTTATATTACTAAATCAATACTAAATTTTCATATATTGACATACCACTGTCATTATGTTTATTTCTTTAAATTTCTGCCTCAATGAACAACGATTGTCTTAATTATAGATTGCTCGAATCGCTCTCTTTTGCAACACAAAAGCATTTTAATAATTTTTCATTCCCTCACAAGATACTAAATATTTAGGCACGTATGCCTAAATATGTATTTCCTAAATTTAATGAAAGTTCCGAAAACACCACGAGTTGTGATCAAAAATTTCTATTATTAACGACACGATTATGGATAGATAAAATGAGTTGACCTGTTTAGCCTTCACATACATTTGCCAAAAATAATGCAGATACAAAAGAATATTCATTGTTTTCTGTAGTTTTATGACTTTTGGTAAGACAATTGAAAGCCGCACAAAAGATACTATTTTGAACATACTAGGAAGTACGTTGCAAAAAAGGATTCGTTTTTTTGTTTGTCTTAGTTCCTATATTAGCGAAAACAATTGTCCGGAGCGGAGTACTGGGGAAGGGGGGAAAGAAATTTTTACCTGAGCGACCACTGCATTTGTATGATACTATTTAGTTATACGCGAACCTCGGAAAGCTTCAGTTTGGCTTATTCTCCAGTTTGGTTATTAAAGATGTCAGAAGAGCAGAAATCACGTTGTGCGATGCCGATGAAAAAACGAGACGAGCAAGAAATACTGACTGTACCCTCACGTAAGTAATTGCAATAGATTTTTGTACTGAGTTAGTGCCGATCGTTGTCTGTATAAAAAGTAAAAACAATAATTTATACTTTTATTAAAAATCGTAATAGTGTAAGTTTAATCCATGCGCCCTGGTTCCGTTCAAATTTCTATGGAGGAAGTTCGTAGATGTTGATCCGATTTTAGCAAATAGAAGCGTGTAATCCCCGGTTTCTTTCGAAGTGGCAAGCTTAATTCCATTCCATGCCATTTCATTCTAAATGCCATGTGTCGATATAAGTCATAATCGTCAATTTTTCAAGTGCAGAATCAAAGTTTGTAATAAAAAAATGTCATTTTTAATGTAAATATAACAAGTGTAAGATTTTTATCTCGCCAAAATTTCACGATTTTAGGTCGATGCGGAATAGGTTTCGAACTGAAAATGGCTTAGATGGTCATTTATATCAATTGCGTTGATTTAGAAGATTCATGTTTTTACAGTTTCAAGGCACCGAACTTATAACGTTTTAACTTATATTCAGAACCTTCTAATGTGAAATTGCTTTAGCTGTCTTTCTATCGCATTCTCGATATCTCGGATTTCATACGTTGTACCGGATTCTAGTTGGATCGATTCTTGGATTTCCGGTTGATTACTACTAGTTGAATTATTCATACAAATAGATGATGAACCAATTAATATTTCTTAATCTATCCCCTCAAGATCAGATAGATCCTGTGACGTTCCTAGTTCAGGATCTGTACTTTAATTTTCTTGCTCTGATACCAAATTCAACTGAATAATATAACGTCTGTCATTGTAGGGTCCAGGTCATTGTTGTTAACTATTTTAAACTATTTTTTTATTTTATTTAATAAATTTAAATCTTATTTGCCTAACTCCACTCTGCACATAATTCATTTAGAACTGGGGTACTCAAGGGACATGATGCAAGATGATGATGATGCAAGATGCGGGACGATGATCAGTGTAATTGGTAAACCTTTTACCGTTTATAGGTACTTTATAGCCCATACTATATAATATAATAACTATATATACTATATATATATATATATATATATACTATACTATATAATATAATACCTAGTGATACTTTTTCTCCTCGGTTTCATCCCGAGGCTGCTGCGCGCGGCAAAGCCCAGCCATTTCTTCATGCGTTCAGTTGAGAGTTCAGATATCGTGGTAGAAAAATGCAGTATCTTTTTCACATTTCAAAACAATCTCCATTAAAGATTGATATGTTCGAGCGAGGCACGAAACAAAAAACGCGTGCCTTGTCCTAAGTGCCTTGCTTGCTTGCCCACACTTGCCTCGGCCGAGACACGTCCGCACAGGCTGAGCTGCAGCGCGCGGCAAATGCCTCGCGAGGCTGTTCGCTCTGTGTGGACCCGCCTGTATTTATCAACGTGGGATCTAATCTTGTGTAATCGTGACTTGTTTCAACATTGTGTGTTAAAACATTGTCTAGACCGTGGAGATCGGAGTCCATGAGTTTTTCCTCCGTTAAAGGCGATTTTTTCTCAATATCGTCTTGGTCCAATAAAATAATAATGTCTAATAAAATATTGCACACGTCCTAATTTGTCTAAAATTTCGTTAATGCCAGGTAACTTGGTACTTGACCTCTATGGTTGTGTCATTGAGTAGTCGATTTTTGTTTTTGTATGTTGTCCAGTAACGTCTATCTTTTAGGAATAATATACACTGGGCAAAACCAAGGTGAATAACTTTCCCTTCTAATAATATTCCTACATCATTCATATGACCTACATCAATCTGTTCATTAATTTTTATGTATTTTTATAATATATTATTTTATTAAGTATAAATGTAACGGAATCTTCAAATGTGATTTTGACCAGCTTCAAGACGCCGAATCAAATTGAAACTTATCAAGGACCGATGACAATACAATAGTTTAATAAATTTGTCCGATTATCCTGATTAGGTTCTTCAGGATTAACCGCTTTTTCCATACCTAAACATACAGTCGAGTCTTTTGTTACGTACTAGGCTTGTGCTGAAGCATATGTAACTTAATTAATTGTTACTTCTTTAGTCTTAATGAGAAAATAATCATCATTACTAACTAAAAAAGCAATAACAAATTATACTTAAAAAAAACTAATAAGCACGCTTTTTTAACTAGCCGAACTAAAAAGTAGAAAATAACTTTCTATAATTTCAAAAAGAAAAAATATTTTATCGTAAAAGCGTGGGGTGCTTTTGAAGATATTCTTAAGCGACTTCAAAAAGGAGGAGTTCGGATGCTTATTTTTTTTTATGTATGTTCGGAAATAACTCTGTCATATATGGTCGGATTTTCAAAATTCTTTTTTTTGGTCGAAAGGGGTTTATTCCGAAATGGTCCCATTTTAATTCCATATAGATCTGATGATGAGTTTCGGAGACAGACAACCCAACTCTTCAAAAAATGACATCAAATCAATCGCGATTTCTGCTAGGTTTTTATTGCTAGAAGTCGGTTCAACTTTTTTTTAAAGTAGTTTTCCTTGTACGATAAAATAACTTTACTTTTACCAATATCTGTCAATAAAATATCTTTACAACAATTGAGATTTAACACCACGCATTTTTACGATAAAATGATTTTTCTTTTCGAACTTGTAGAAAATTAATTCGGCTAGTTACAAGAGCGTGTTTTTTAGTTATTTTAAACTATAACTTATTTTTATCTGTAAACCTGAGTTTAACCTCATGAGTGAAAGGCAAAGGTATGCATTTGGAGTTAAATATATCACGATAATTATAACAGTTCTATTTCGTTCGTTCAGTTATGTTCCTCTTCCGCGTTCATAACCTCAGTCCTGAGACAGGTTCTGTTTTAATACGTGTCTATCTCTACAAATAAAAAAAATTAAAGTGTCTGTTTGTAATGTCAAAATATTAGGTTTTTTCATGATCACACCGTTATTTACACGATAGTTATGCCTTAAATCCAGTTGAAACATTTTTTGTCTGTTTGTCTGTCCGTTCTGTCCGTAATCTTCAAAACGACTTGACCGATTTTGATAATATTATACTACCAGTTAGCTGTCTATATAAGGAGTAACTTAGGCTATTATTTTTCTCAGAAAAACCCAATAAAATTTAGCCCGTTGTGAGCATACCGTACCGCGGTATGCAGGGGAAATGTGTTGAAAACCTATCGACTAAAACCGCACATTTCGGACTTAATGTAACAATTGAGAAACACCAAACTGCAATCTCTGTTTTACTGACTGTAGGTAACTCAAAAACTCAAAATATCTTTATTCCATAATTTTTTAAATTGTTTGAAATCGTCTCTTGAGTAGACTCTAGGGTCATAGATCAATACACACAATAGCAACAATCTCTGTTTTGTCAACTATTTAGAAAACTAAATATACTATACGTATCGAAAATTAGTCATGAAAAGTTTGGGACTAGATGGCGTTGTGTGGATGTGGTAGAATATTATTATTATTTAAATATTCTTCTCTTGAATGCAGGTGAACGAAATTCTCTTGAGGCTATGGTTGTAGAAGAATCCACTGCTGGTCCGAGAGATCAAGAAGAAGGGGAAGATGTTGATGACTGGGTCCTCAGTTATGAAGGATTTAAAGCTAAGAAGGTAACAACGAATAATTTAGTTTTAAAGAGACTCCCTTAATAATAAACATACTAATTACAGCATCCTTTCTTAAAACTTCTTTTTTTAAAAGTAAGCATCTTCCTATTGCCCTATTAAGAAAATAAAAAAGCGCAAGATGACAACGTCAGCAACTACAATGAATTTGAACAAAGTCTAGTTTAAGCATATTTGCATCTACAACATTGAACAACTAGGTAGAGTTTTTTATAATTCAAGTTGATGTTTGAACGTCTTTATAACTAGCTTGTGTTTAACAGTAAGTACAATCGAACTTTGACGACCGGAGGGCGAAGTGGTTTCTGTAACGGACTGCTATTCCAAAAGGCGGGGGCTCGATTCCCGCTCAATTCAAATATATGTGTGCATGAACATTTAATGTTTGGTTTGGTCTGGGCGTTTCTATGTATTATGTGTATGTATTTACAATAAAAAAGTATATATGTATTTATATCAGTTTTCTAGTACCCATAGTAGAATCTCTGCTTAGTTTGGGACTAGATGGCATTGTGTGAATGTGGTAGAATGTTATTACTATAATAAGAAGTCACAAATCATCCCTAGATACACTCATACCCTAAAATACTCAAGGTTCATATCACTCCACTTCTTTTAAGTAACTATACCTACCACAGATAGGCATAGATATCCTTGAACTAATCCCGACTATACGCTCTTTTGTTTCAAGTTTCTATACATTACATTGCATCAAATATACATTTTCGTTTCAACGCATCTTAGAGTCGTACAACAAATGATTTATTTTTTTATAATGTCATCAATGATTACATTTTCATATCTACCTACGCTAGATGCTAATAGTACAAGAATAATTAGTAGTATGGATACTTATTTTTTTAAATTTAAAATAAATGTCTTTACAGGCAGAGGAAAACCAAAAGAAAATGCAACTTTACAAGCGCCAGTATTCCAGATCGAATAGTGAGGTCATGACTCTTTCGAAAGAAGCCATCACTGTTCCTGTAAATACGGTTAATCAAAGTAGTGTTCAAAACGAATCTGTACCGAATTTTGTAAACAATAGGTACTTACTAATCCGAGATATGCTTAAAGAGGCATATTATAAAAGAGCGTCGGATAGCTTAGTCAAAAGGATTTTGCAAGCATTAACAGCAGTCCACGATGATCGAAGAATGCCGTTGCAGCCTGTAGAGAACATGGAAACTAAAGAACAGCAACAAGGTTCATCAGGACAGTTGAATCAATTTTTGGATGAGGCCAAGCAGAATGACAATAATATCAATGGGAATAGAGAAAATAAAACAGACGATGCAGTTCTTGTAAGAACTTCTTGTGCGAAGAGGGTGCCGAACATTGAGGCAGTGGAACAAGAATGGGTAATCTTTGTTTTATATTTTGTACTTACACTAATACTTCTAAATATTAGTAGACCTGTAGACTTAGGAGCAAAAATGTTATATAGTAGACTAGCTATTGCCCGCGGCTCCGCCCGCGTAAATGTCGGTTATCGCGGTAAAAAGTAGCCGATGTTTTTTCTCCAGAATCAATTACCCATGCCAAATTTCTTCTAAATCGATGCAGCGGTTTAAGCCTGAAGAGGTAACAGATAGACAGACATACAGACAGACAGATGGATACACTTTCACATTTGTAATATTAGCATGGACTAGCTGGTGCCCGCGACTTCGCGTTGATTTCGAAAAGCGCTACCTTAGTGGGTTTTATTTTAGGGTTTTTTCTGAGAGAAAAAATAGCCCAAGCTACTCCTTATATAGCCAGCTACCCGGTATTAAAATAAATCTAAATCTTTCAAGTCGTTTTGAAGATTACCCGGAACAAACAGACAGACAGACAGACAAAAAATGTTTCAACTGGATTTTAGGCATAGGTATCGTGTAAATAACCATGTGAGCATGAAAAACACATTATTTTGACATTACAAGTAGACACCAATTTTATTTATTTGTATAGGTGGAGGCAATAATGGCAATCAAAACAATTTATTATTAATTAGAGTTCTATAAAAATCTCCGGTTAATTTTTAGGTAATGGTTTCACGAACCATTTTTTGTTAAAAGAATAGGTACTATTTATTTAATGTTAGGCCGACATGTTAGGACAGTATGAAATGGTCATACCGTTCTAGCATGTTCTGTTCTGTTTAATATAAAATATCATAGGGACAATTTGGAAATAGAAATTAAATGTTTATTTGAAGATTTAATATCAGTTGCATTTTGTAGGTTCCAATTGGAAGCGGATTGACGCTTATACACCCCAACAAATACAAAAAAATTAACTGGAAGTCGTATACTATTGCAACACGGACATTGTTAGTGGCTGTATTTTCCAGAAGGTAAAGTTCCCTTACATCATTTTTTTTAATGCGTAATGAATACTAGAAGTGTTGAGGAATGAGTTTGAAATTTACATTAATTATATTTCATCTACCTACTCGTATATTATCAATTTGTTATAATTACGTACGATACTATGTATTACATAATACTGTGGATTCTAGGGTTCTAGCGACGCACTCCCTGACCGGTAAACCTTCCCCTGCGTTTCCTGGGAAGCCAGCTAAGATGAGTTTGGACTCAAAAAAAGTTTCAGATGTGATCGCGGAAATTGTGAACAGATTTAAAGTTCGCGAAAATTTAGTAAGGTAAGTACAATAATAAAACACTTGCAGCTCAGATACATAATATGTGTTTACGTCTTGCATAGTAATGTAATTCCGTTCAATATTTTGGCAGTTAATTCATTTGTTTTTTTTGCCTCTTTTTGAAAATGAGACATTAGCTTTGAACACTTATAGTGATTATAATTATCTTTGGCATGCAGTCAAAGAATTTTGGAAAAAAACTGGTCGTTCAAAAGTTATAACCATTTTAATTTTCGGATATCATCACTCTGGTTTTTTATAAAAATAGATAAAATGTTTAAAATTATTTTTTTAATTTAATCTGTTATTGAAAAATTCACAAAAAAAAAACCAAAATTTTTGCATTTAGTACATACTATATATATACGTTTAGTATATGTATATACGTTTAGTATATACGTGGTGTAAGGGACATCGTAACGAAAACTGAAGTCTGCGGCCGAAGGGGAGGCCCCGCACGCTTCAGCTATTTGATTAATTACAATGCAGTTTTTGACCGTATGCGGTATTTATTAATTTGTTTTCGGTGAAATGTTCTGTTTACTCATTGTGTTATCATTTTTAACAAAAAAAATGGAAAATTATAAAAAAATGATTAATTTTCCGGCAGAAAATTCCAATGATTTTCGACTCTGATTTTCGATGGTCTGAATATACTATTTCAGTATTCGCTACGATGTCCCGTACACCCTGTATATGTTCAACTAGCTGACCCGCGCAACTTCGTCAGCGTCTCTCAATAGTAATAAATTTTCTCCGTTTTTGAAACATTCTTCATTGGTGCTCCGCTCCTATTGGTCTTAGCGTGATGATATATAGCCTATAGCCTTCCTCGATAAATGGGCTATCTAACACTGAAAGAATTTTTCAAATAGGACCAGTAGTTCCTGAGATTAGCGCGTTCAAACAAACAAACAAACAAACAAACAAACAAACTCTTCAGCTTTATAATATTAGTATAGATTTAAAATATTTAGTAACACGTTCCATCTGTTTTTATGAGAATCTGAGCTCATAATACCTTCAAATTAAAACCGGTCATAACTTTTGAACGGATAGGTTTTTTGTACATACATCTAAAAAAAATATATAATAAAAACTATTAAAAACTATATAACTATATTTATATTAAAAACTATGTAACTATATTTATATTAAAAACTATTCATTCATATAAATATAATTCAAGATTTTATGAGAATTGCTAAAACAAAGACTTATGATTTTATGTTACCTAGGTGTTCTTTTTCTGGGTTTGGGTGGCGGCCTGATCATATCAAGATGCAATTGGGCCCTATCACTGTTATTTGGTTGATGGCCGTGGGGAAGCTGAAGTTAGGTACAGCGTCTATTGGGGAGGGAGAAAACACACGGTCCGAGTCCTCCCTAGATAGAGCCCCTGAGGCCAGCCGTCAGTGTGGTTTCAGAAACTGATCAATAGATTTACGTCTATTGATCAGTTTCGAAAGTAAGTGCAAAGGTTTACAAGCTTCGCATTCTTCTATAAAACGTATGTATAATTTGAATTCCTGCCGGATTACCAAATTTCCCGTACTACGGCCAGTGCCGGTTTTAGCATTACATGCGGCCTGAGCGAAAGTTCTACCATGTTTACCATTTTGAAACCCATACGGAAAAATCAAGGGGTTTATTTTTTTAGCAACTTTTTTTTAACATTTCTGTGCATTTACTGAGATCCATGTCTATTGAGTGTTAAGATTTACTGACTATATTTATTTCAAAAAGTATATTGTACCAAAACACCAATGAAACTAAAAACCTGAAAACTTTTAGCTGTTCGGCTACAGTAATAGCCTCATGAGAGATTTGAACATCAGTTTTCTGAATTTCAATAGCAAAGTAACTAAAGCATCTTGAATGGCACTAATTTGATCCTTTTTGAGGTATACACTCCGCGATCGGTTAAAAATTTCCATCAATGAACAGAAGCCGAAAACAAAGAGGAAAACCTCTGAAGTACCCCGAACAAAGTGACAGATTTTACGGACTATTATTCGGACGGACATATTCTTATTTAACTATGTCAACATTATTATTTAATTGAGCGAGAGTTATATGAAAATTGTCAAAGTTGGCTTTATGCCTGTACTTCGTCAAATCGACATATTTAATCCTGCTACCCCTGTTAGCTACCACAACCGAGAATTTTTAAAAGAGAAAAGTTGAGCTTCTCATCAAAATGAAGATAGTAATCAATTGTAAAAATGGACCATGGATTCTGGACTGGATGGATAGTACAATACCTGTAGCCGATAACCGTATGTTGGTCGTAGCAACGACGATGACGTAGATCGGTGCCGTAGCAGTCATCAGTACAGATAATGGTGCGTAGCAGACCGCGTGGTTCGTAGAAGTCAGTATAAAAATGTAGACCTACTCAGAGTCCGTAGCAACATTTAGCCCGATTTCTCGTAGCAGATAATAAGTCATGGTGCGCGGTGGCGGAGTCAGCAATAGCACGGTCTGGCGCGCCGTCGCGTAGCCTCAAGTTCAAATCCTGGTGCGATCGAATACAAATTTTACACAACACTCATAAAATTATGTATCTCACTCCAAGCCCGTTGAGTAGAAGGGATTAGTATAGTTCGCCTCCTCTGGTCTATTTAAGGTTCGCATTACTTAATCGTCGATAATTTGAATCATTTAAGACGCGGGAGCGTGTTGGAATTCCTAAATCTTCCATATCGCGCTACAGTTTTGCGCAAGGCCCGTTGTGGAGGATTGGCATCTGTAAGCCATAGATGTCTTGGGATCCGTGAGGGTACCACGGATTTCAGGGTGGTCGGTTCGAGTCTGACATAACTACATGACCGTTGGGGGTATCCGAAGAAGTGTCTAATTACGGAAAAATGGGTCGGCTTAATCAGCATTGCACGCGTGCGCTCAAAAAGCTAGCGGCAACCTAATCATCCTATTTACCATAGTATAATCAATAATATTGATCATTATAGGATAATGGTCTGACCGACTCACATAGTTTGCACTGATTTACCCAGTGAACGTAGATTAATATAGTAAGAACAAGAAGACGGGACTAGCCGTCATTACATACTTTTAAAATATATACACATAAAACGGTAAATACATCACATTATCATCACATTACATCCATAGACTTCAATAGTTCACTGCTGGACATAGGCCTCTCCTTAGAAAGGAGGTTTTGACCTACTATACCACGCTTGCCAGATGGGTATAAGGGCAAATACATAATGTTTCTTAATTTGCATCTCAAAGTGAAATGCTTGTGATCGTTAATAAAATATACATACTACAGTTTTGTGATTTATATTTTACAGGAGCATCATTACAACTAAATGTGCAGACGAATGTAAAATGTGGAAAACCCGTTGTAAGGAGAACGCTGCCAAAAACAGGACAGAAACCGAATAATGTGTACAGTGACACTGAAACGGTACAAGAGCCGTTATACCAATGTATTTAATGTAGTTTTAAGGTGTTTTTAATTAATATAAATTTGTTAACGAGTTGTTAACGATAGCAGATGAACTGAAAAATTATTGTACGAGTATAATTATAGGAATAAATTTTATAAATGAATTTATTTGTTTTTGTTAAACCATTATAACATATAAAACATAACAATTGTTATGTTTTACGAGTCACTAGTCAGCAGTGGTGTCGTTAACAATACACGAACACTTCGTCGATGACATCGAACTTCTGTAATCTGGCGTTACATAATAAGCGCACGAAAATGGCCACGTTCAAATCGCCCGAAAAAGAGGTTTATTCCCAGTGGTATATAGCCAGTCCATATAGACAGCTCCATTTGGAACTTTTGCAACCTACTAGTTCCATGTATAAAGCTAGTGGCTTGCGAAAGTTCCACGTTTGCTACCCAATACTTCCATACATGGAACTAGTGGGTAGCAAAGTTCCATACATGGAACTAGTGGTTTGCAATGGTTTCATGGTAGCAAAACTTTAATGCGATGGACAGTCCTCTTTGTAAAGGACGCCTGAATACGGAAGAAATGGCCGCCCACGTAATCCTGGAATGCGAGGGAGTAGCGACACAGCGGGCAAGTAACATACCTGGTACAAAATCGCTCCTAGAAGCATGTGAACGTCCCAGGAGGCTTCTGCGCTTCTAGAAGGAGCTAGGTTGGCTCACCTAGCCAACCTCTTTAAGACGCATAAAGGACCACTCTCGAGTCTAAATGGTATAATTTTGTTCTGCCAACTTACGTGCCGGACATGATTCGTCAACAGTTTGATGATCACATTTCATTCTGAAACGTTGGCAAATAGCACAGGTCGGTTGCGAAGAAATAGTCTTACATTCCTTAGATGTATGTCTAAGTTCGCCACAGTGAGTACAGGTGGGACTGGTTTTTTTGCAGAACTTCGCAACATGCCCATATCGCTGGCAATTGAAGCACCGAGTAACCAACCTAAAATCATGAACTGGACATGGACAAATTACATAGAACAAATGGTACAAAGATCGCTGTATTTCAGATGTCCTATATTTATTTTGGTTGTGTTATATCTAGTACAAACGTTTAAAAATAAAAAATAAAACATGTATATTCTCCATTATTGGCTAACATAATTAAAATAAATAAATTCCTAAGTGACCCTGATTGCTAAGCCAGAGGTCGTGGGTTCTATTTACACCCAGGACATATAATTGTGATTTATCAGCAATCTGGTTCCCGTCGTATCAGCACTACATCATAGCTTGAGATCAGACTGCTGCGTGTGAGAAGCGTGAAGTTATTGTTATCATTTAAGACTAATAACACACTAACTAACGTCAACGTCAGGTCAATTAACTTCTTCTAAGTCGACAAGGTCACACTTTTTCTTATAATATATGTACTTATAACTTATAAATCGTCGTATCTAGTTACATGTATCTAATAACACCATATTTTCCCCCTAGTATGTTATATATTCACCTAAGGTCAACAAATAGATATTATGTGTAATTATCACTTTTTATAGTTATGTATATACTACTTTGATTTCCTCTTTTTATTCTTATTCTTCTTTCCTAACACACCAGCAACTACCCAATACCTCCTCCTCTTCATGTTTTCTCTCCATACCACGGTTGCCTGTAAGAGATTGCCTCTGGGCGATAAGGTCGCCACTTGTACTGAACTAGTTTAAGGTAATTATGTATATTTATATCTGGTGTACAATAAAGTGATATATTATTATTATTATTAACTCAAAGGCCAGCAACGCGCTTGTGACTCCTGAGTTGCAGGCGTTCATGGGCGGCGGTAGTCACTTTCCATCATTCGACTCGTCTGGTCGTTTGTCTTAAAAAAAAACCTGCATATCTTACTGCACTAATATTTGTCACTTATTCAGATATTAGATAAATAATCTCTACCTAGTTTAGTGCAACTTCGCGCAAGCCGTTATTGCGGCGGTAAGACCCGTTATGGAGGATTGGATAGAGAGACAACATGCGACTCTCTCAAACCGGCTAACGCAGGTGATCACCGGAAAATGATACTTCGGAGATCACCTGTGTTTGATCCGCAAGGAGCTAACGCCTAAGTGCCACCACTGCGATGGCCATGGTACGGAGCGAGAGCGCGTAGAATTCTGCTGCTCCTTCTGCGGGCAGGTTTTACTTGTTTTTTTAATTCTGTGGGCCTGTCATGTCTCCAGACAGACTGATGGTCGCTGAAGAATGTGCTGGAGTAGATACCGCGATTAACCAAAGGTAGTATAAGGCTCCTGGTGCCACGATAGACCGACGACTTGAATAAAGTGGCTGGTAGAGATTGAATGCGGACTGCCAAAGACCGGGATAGTTCGTGCTCCTTGGGGGGAAGCTGATGATGACGATGAAGGACGGGACTCAGACGGCGGCAACGCACTTGCTTGCAGTTTAGGTGAAGGCGATTGCCAACTAAACCGTGGAGTCTTACGAACCCATAGTACAGTGCTCAGTGGTTTTATTTAAATCCCTACTAGCATCACTTACTCAGTCCCACCCAGTAGATACCACGCTTGGCATCAAACACCCAGACAAAAGTTAACACACATTGCAACGTGTTCTCTAAATTTTCTCTATGCTCTGTTGATGAAATCTCTAAAATTATAGACGACTTAGATCCTAATGCTAGCACTGGTGTTGATTGTATTAGAACTAAAGCCCTCGAGTGCATTAAACATAACCAATTGCCTAAATAAAGTTTTAGTAGAAGGTACATTTCCAAATACCTTAAAAGTAGCCAAAGTGACTCCTATATTTAAATCTGGTAAAACTGACCCTGGCAATTATCGGCCCGTTTCAGTGTTACCAATAATATCGAACATATTAAAAAAAAATATGTATGCAAGATTAGATGATAAGATTAGATGATATCTAACAAAAACGAAATTTGTATACAAACAGCACTACGGGTTCCTGCTCAAATCAAGCACAATCAGCGCAACAATAGACTTAGTAACGACAATCAAAACAAAAATTGATCAAAAACAAATAGCACTAGGAGTTTTCATAGACTTAAAAAAAGCGTTTGATACGGTTTCCCATTTTTTACTGCTAAAAAAACTTAGAAGTATCGATGTCACTGGGACCGTGTTTAATTTATTATGGGAAAAACTTAAATGCAATTATACAAGAAGACCTGAATAATCTACAAAACTGGTTCCAGTATAATCTACTAACAACAAAATCCTGCAAAACATCATATATATCTTGCATAGCCAAAAATAACAATAGAAAACCATGACAGTTTAAAAATTAATGGACAAATCTTATAGAAATCTAATAAAGAAAAGTACCTTGGCTTGTGGCTTGACCGTAACTTAACCTGGCGAGTAGACACAGAATACGTAGAATCTAAGCTCTCGTCGCTAGCAGGATCATTACGTGGTATTGTTAGATGTACGAGTATACCACACAAAGTTCGCCTTATGATATATAACGCCCTGGTGAAGTCTCAGCTACTTTATCTCAGTGAGATTTGGGGCAATGCAGCTAAATCCAATTTAAAACCAATACAGGTATTGCAAAACAAAATCGTAAAAATACTATACTATATCATTACTACTATTTAACTCCATCTAAAATTATATACAAAAACGTAAAACTTATGAACATTGAACAACTATACACATACAATACATGTATATACAATACATATACAACATGTATATACACAAAATTATTCATCAAACTATTCAGTCACACATTACGTTCACAATAAAAAGGAAAACACTAAAATATACCAATACAATAATATACATACCAATCGCTGTGCTAACCATATAGTATTGCAACGCGTAAGAACAAGCACAACTATATAACAGACTTCTATCGGATGTCAAAGAAGAAAGTTCGCTTAACATTTTCAAACAAAAACTTGCGATCTACATTTTTAACAATATTTATATAACGTATAAAAACGCTCTTAACTTGTACCACCGGTCACTATGATTTGACATCACATTCATTCTGTACTGAGCTCGCATTCTTGGACAACCGTCATGTAAGAAGTGTTTTATAACTTAAAACTACCTGCAGCGGAGTAACATAACTTATTTTTCTTATGTTGTTCTCATGTAAGTGCGAGAATGTGTAAATCTTTATTTCTCATGTATTAATAAGAAATAAAGATCTTTAAACCGACATTCATTAAAAAAAAAACAATGTATATATATTTTTGTGCCTCCTATGAAAAGTGATACAAGTAATAAATCAACACTTTACAGGCTTAAAAAATTCTGGTTCTCGATTTCAATGGGCTAGGTTAAATTTGAGTACCTTCATTTGTAGATAAAACATTCATTTTAACTTTCCATTAATTTTTTCTGGATAATAATATACATAGTTTTAAAATAATTCTTAGAAAACCTGTGAGTTATACCTTTTTCATTTCTAATCCATGTTAAAATTACGTGATTTATTTGATTTGCAAGTCATACTACATCATACAAGTAACTCATGTTAAATTATCTTCCACCTATAATCTGTCTACGTGTAAATTGATGTACGTTAAGTACAAATATCTAATAATTCATTAGAATATGTTTGTTATCTCAGTTGCTTAAAGAGATGGTAAAAAGACTACCGCAAAAATGAGATTTTTTACTTTTCAATCCCCTGTTTCATAATTTGGCTGAATTGTATCAGTTTGCTAAAATCTTAGCCTTTTAGATTCGGATTTTATTTGTAAATTAAGATTCAGATCTGTAAAAAGTGATATAACTCTAATTATATCAATATTCACGATAAATAAAATGTCACACATCAACAGCCTTTACTAATCCACTGCTGGGCATAAGCCTCTCCTTAGAAAGGAGGTTTTGGCCTACTATACCACGCTGGCCAGACGGGTTGGCATGGTCAAGTTTTCCTTCTCTCTGCAGTGCTGTTGTTCTGCGTAGTTTTTTCC